TTTGCTAAAGAGGCAAAATACTTGAGAGTAATTTTTGACCACAGATTAACATGGAATAAACATTTTCAAATAGTCACCCAAAAGAGCACAACATCCTTCAACTTATGTCTAAGGTTATGTGAAAAAAATTGGCGACTACAATCGAAAATTTCCGTATGGTTGTATACCAGAGTCATAAGGCCGATGATAACCTACGGGTCGGTGGTATGGTGGCTAAAGTCTCGACAACTTAATGGCAAGCATGCCTGAGTATCACGGGAGCTATGAGAACGATTCGAACAGTACCTATAGAAGTCATTCTAAACCTAACCATATATATTCATTCAAGGCGAAGCCAGGTCTGTCACATACAATTCTCCGAAAGTATAGCTTTTAAAAGCAATATACGGAGTGGCCCAAAAGTCTGGAAACCGCCAATTATATAGTAAATTGCTAATCCTAATTGTACAAAATTTGGGATACACCTATTTTGGGATACGGAGATTCCAGATTTGATATTTGCATTATTGCCAGATTGCACTTTGGTTTTTTAAATTTATCACCCTCTATATTTAGTCATTATTGAAATCTCCTATTTAATACGAGTTTAATCATATGAAACACTTATGATTTTATATAGTCTGGAAGGTCTTAAATAAATAAAACAATTATGGAGAAATGTAGTAGACGCATTCTACCATCGATTAGGGTACTGTCAGCTCACAAATGGAGTGCATTTTGAACACTTGATAAAGTAACCTTTATGTTAAAAATGTTATAATCTTTCAATTGTTACGTTTCAAGACAATTAGGCGTTGCCAGATTTATTTTATTTATTTAAGACCTTCCAGACTACATAAAATCATAAGTGTTATATTTGACTGAATATACAGAGTGATGAATTTGAAAAACCAAAGTGACTAATAATTTAGGAGAAACGGCAAATGTGGCAACTTTGCAAATATTAAATCTGGAATCACCGTATCCCAAAATAGGTGTACCCCAAATTTTGTACAATTAGGACTAGAAATTTACGAGATAATTGGCCGTTTTCAGACTTTTGGGCCACTCTGTATATTAAGTATACCAGGCGGGGAAGCGTGGACCTAGGCTCCAAAATCCATGAAGGTTCAGGCGTAGGTATATATATATAGTAGCAAGTCAAGGAAAAGAATCTCACTGAGCTTAGGTAAACATGCGACAGTATTTCAGGCAGCAATAGCAGCAATACATCACTGCGCAAAAGACCGAAGGTAAATAAAAAAACCATTGTCATATACTCAGTCAAGCGACGTTAAATGCACTCAGTACTAGTAGGTCTATTAACAGGATATTGTAGGCTTAACGAACATATGTATAACATTGGTATAATATAAGGGATCTTGTGTTGATTCTGTCAGAAAGAGGAGGAAACGGCAGAACACGTATTGTGCTACTACGAAGGTCTAGCAAATCTGAGATTCCTTACACTTGCAGCAGAAAAACCTAGAGCAACTAGCTATACCAGAGAAGTACTTCCCAGTCTATAAGTCTACTACAAAAGAACGAATTAGACAACGTACTCTAAATAAGGATTAAAGGATATTCACAATAGGTATGAAAAGGTTGAGGTGGGGGAGGCCACATAGCCCACAGTCCTAATTAAATCTAATCTAATCATTAAGAATTAATTTTTTTTTGGTTTAGTCTTCCATAATTTTTCTTTGTGAAATTATAAAATTGTTTGCATTAGAGTACCTTAAAAATACTTTACTATTTTTATTGCAGAACTTCTGTATTAGTAGGAGAGCTTGTAGATATTTTTGGGTAGGTATTTGTGGCAAGCTTATACTTTTCTTATAATACCTTAACATAGAACTGCAGACCTAGCTGGGTAGTAGTGGGACTAAATCAACCCCTATATTTCCAAAGTGAGGAATTTTTTTTGCAAAAAATATCCTTGAGGCAACTAAAATTTGTATACCTTTACTTTGAATATTTAAATATGTAAGTGAGAGTGTTTATCGATAGCTGTCTCCGTCTTCGAACATCGCGATACCATTGGCCCGGGCAAGACTAAGTCACTTACTATACCCATGTAGTGATGACTCGGAATTTTGGAGTAATTATTACCTCACTCCATGGGGCATTAGAATTTAAGACATATATTCAATTTTTTTTTGACAAATTAGTCTTAAGAATTAAGCCTGGTAAGTTCATAGTAATATCCTAATAATGGGGGCTATCCTTTTTTTATTTTAGATAGTTCATATTGCCCCAACTTGTTTTACTAGTACTTCTACACCATCAGTGCATATTCCAACGTAATTATTCCACTCTATGTTTGCCTCATTAATAAAATCATTTAAAATATTAAAATAAGCGAGTTCTGTTGCTTTGAGTTCTACAGGTGTGCAGAAAACTAAATCTTCTACTGCCAATACACCATCGCAAAATTGGACATAGGCAATTAACTGAGCCTCTTTATTGCTATCTGTTGCCTCGTCAAGCTGAATCGAAAATAGTTTGTCACGCAACTTTTTAAGAAGCTGATGCTGTACATCTTCGGCTGTATCACTAATTTGGCAGGCAACAGTATCATTTAAAAGAGGTATGGATTCCAATTGTTTGGAAAAATTATCTCCAAACATAGTTTTTACAATCTGCACCGCAGCTGGTAGAATAAGCTCTTCACCAATGATGTACGCTTTTTACATCTGGCTATTTTATATGATACTTTGAAAGAGACAAGTAAAGCTCTTTCGTTCGCAGAGAAAGTGTTTTTGAAGAATGATAAATATTTGCTTTTCATATGACTTTAGTTTTAATTTTAAACATTCTCGGGGCCGTAACGTTCATTTTTAGCTGCACAAATTACAAGAGGAAAGTTCGACTAACCTTCTTTAAATATACGGAGAAAAGGTAAAACGTAATGTATTGTTTATAAGCTTGGGTATTTACCATAAATACTTCGGGAACTAAGGGCCACGGTCAACATTTAACTTTTTTAGATTTCATTTTTTTTATTATTGATATAAAAACAAGACTTAAGTTAAGCAGACTCATAAGACCGATGAAGGGCAGAGAATAGATTAAGTAGAATAACCTCTTCCAATCTGGCAGTTTCACTAAATACCACTGTATCTAAAGTCTTTTGTGTGTTTTTTTTTTGTATGTCACTAACTTCAACTACTAAGGTTATTTCGCCTCGTATTCTGTGTAGGCTTTGTTACTTTTTCATAGCGCCACTTTAGGAACAGCTCTGTTAATTAAAAAAGTTCATGGTTTAATATTTTTCTTATTAATAATTTGGACTTTACTGAAAGTTAAGTAGGTAACTTCATTCAATTTGGAGAGTGTTAAATGGTTATTGTGTTAACATTCAACATTAAACGTTGATGTTTAGATAAAGATGCGGATTTGCACATGATTATTTATATATTTTTTTATTTGACTGTTTAAGTAAAGGTAGAAATTAAGATCTCAAATTTTTGCAAATTATATTGCATAAGCGTCCTTCGCCTGGTACCAAGCTAACGACCAACCGTGCTACCTGTTGGTGAATTTGTTTTCTTTATGCGTGCATGGTGGTCCATGCATATTACATATACATTTTTTTAATTGCTTACCATAGTTAGCTATGTAGTATATTTATGTCATCAAAAGCCATTAGATAAATAATTTGTTTAAATTTTAAATTGAAAATTATTGGGTAAAATTGGTATTTTTTTATAAAGGAACATGAGTTGAGGTTGGTCTTTCGTTTCTTTCCTTATTTACTGGGTTTGTGGGGAAATAGGAGTGTAGTTTGGAAACTATATAGACCCAGTTGGCGCCTATCATTTGTCTACTATTTCCGGAATTTTTAAGAGCTATTCACCCCCTAGCTGCCATCTGAGCGACGTCGAAGGTTCAAAGGTTGACACCGGAACAACCGAAACTTGTGTAACCGAGTAGACAAGATTTTATTTTTTTTTTATTTTTACAGTTTAATTTTAGGCAATTCCTTTCTGGAAGTTGCTTTAAACTTTTGGTAGGTTACAAGGCTTGTTAACGTACTCACTGTGAAATGTTTCCAAATGGCATCTAAACTAATGAGGTCTTTTTTATTCATTTATTTTAGTAGTGATAAATCCAAAATTTTGGTATTTTTGAAAATATTTTCTTGATTTTATCTTCAAAACCATGGTGACTGTGCACTTGTTAAAGCTTTTCTATTGTCTAATACTCACCTACGACTGGTTAAAAATATATCCGTAGTTCTGTATACATTTAAATCTTCCATGCTATTCCAAACAAATCGAAACCACGGTGGAAACTTCTCGTAGTGACGGTAAGCTGCGAGAATGTTCGATATTCGTCGTAAATGACAGAGAGCAGATGAGAAACATCAATACTGGCTTTACGCCTTACCTATATGGGATATAGCGGAGCGGCGTTGTAAAGTTTCAATAAATTCAACTATTTTCGGTAATTTTGAAGGTCTGTAAGTTTCATGTTAGGGCTTTAGGCGTAGAGTCTAGGGTCTAAGGCACTAACAACATGCTGCACTAATGGGATTAGAGTCAAAATTTTCAACGCACAATATATGTCGTATTTTATTATTATATGAAAATGAAAGGTAGGGAGCGCCATATAAATTGTTATTGAAAATTTGGGCCCTGAATACTGAAAGGTTGAAAAACGCTGATTTAAAGGTATACAAATTTTAAATTACCTCAAGGATATTTTTTGCAATTTTTGCAAAAAAAAACTTTGAAAATATAAGGGTTGGCTTAGCCCCACTACTTCCCAGCCAGGTCTGCAGTTCTGTGTTAGGGTATTATAGAAGTTTTCAGCTTGCATCTTATACCTACCCAAAAATGTCTACCAGCATAAGTGAGAAAGAGTTAGCCTAAAATTAAATGTGTTAGCAGCATAATTTTTAAAATTAATAACCCAGGGTGTAGTTATACTTATAAATGTATTTTGATTTGCTTAAGAAAATTGATAGGTTTTGTGATTAGGTGGCTATTAATACATTATTAATATTTTTATTTTACCTCCCAAATTATAAGACATTCCTAAAATTCCAATTCCTATTCCCAAAGTGTACATTGGCTTTACTAATGCTCCTAAAATAGCCGCATGCAGACGTCCATATTCCTTCATACTCAATGTAACAGATAGGACAGGCAATCCGAGGAATAGCATTGTCCAAATAATTGAATGACTCTGAAATTAAAAAAATCTGGTTATAGATTTAAAAAAAAAAGACCTGTCATCGCCGAGGATCAAACCCAGACATCTACGTTCGCAGGACATATACCGTAACCGGTAGACCATCAACGATAGTGACTGTCGAGGTTTCTAGACGGTTATGTGATGTGCTAGTTCTGGCCAGACGGCGTTCAGGTTCCTTTTCAAATATACAAATAATCGTCTAGAAATCTCTACAGTCACCGTGATTGCTGGTCTGTCGGTTGGGACACATTTTCGGAGAACAAATCTACAATTATTTGTTTTTACCTTTGGGGCTTAAGGATGGTCCTAATATTTCGTAAGTGGATTGTTGAGATTTTTTTCCAAATTTTGAAACTATTTTAGCCGCTTATTTTTCAGATATATTGATTTTTTGATTTTCAATTTGCGATTTCTCGACAGTAAATTCACAATTTTCATACACAGGTTCACGTCTCTTAACTTACACTAAAAACCTAACTCAGACAGATGAAGATATGTGCTCAGTATGTATGATTGCATTACGGATTCTGTATTAGAAATATTTGTAGATTTAAGAAAAAACCTGAATGCTGTCTGGCCAGAACTAGCATATCAAATAACCGTTTGTTTTCACTTTTGGGGTTCGAGGATGGTCCTAATAATTCGTAAGGGGATTGTTAAGATTTGTTTTTAAATTTTTATATTATTTAAAAAAAAAATATTGCAAATAAGAGAATATTTTTTTTACTGACAAAGATTGCTTGGACATTAGCATTATTTGCTGTAGTGTTGATTTCATGATTTTAGAAGTAACTTCGCAAATTTTTTTATTGTAAAATAAAAAAAAAGAGAAGAAAAGTGAAAAAATAAAACTAGTTGTGCGATTATCAAATGTGCAGAGTAACAAAATAATTGTTTTAGTAGAGCCAATGGCCGTACAGTGAGTGGTTCCCAAAGGCTAGTTTCAAAAACCTATTGAATTAATAAATCTAAAAAACAGACATAGAAGAAGTCGCCAAAAAGTAACTACCGAGCGATAATATCAGTTCTTAGCTCCAATAGCTAGAATAATACAAAAGCAAGTCATCCAGAATGTCGACAATAACTTCTGTTAGCGACAGAATAATTTTTCAGTGGAAACGATTGGAAGACAACTTCGTGTCATCGAATTGTTTAGTAAGACACAATTAATAGTTCCTAGCTGTCTAGATAAAATTAAAACTATCGAATAAATTGGTAATTGGAGCATCAAATGTAGATGATAGAATATTAGCAAAACCTTTTATTTTTAGAAGAAACTAGAATCAGTCTTAGATTTGATGATCGACGAATCCGATTTTAGGAACAGGTTGCGAAAGAGTGAGCAGTAATGTTTTGGAGAGAGATTAGGCTACGGAAAAGAACTCTCTTAATTCTGATGCAACAAAATTTAACTTCGCAGATGTGTATAGTCCATAATATGACTTTGGAGACTCTCTTCTATTTGATATGCTCCTAGGTATAGTGCCCTTGGATTCTGGAAAGCTACACATTTAGTTAGAATGTAAATGTAGGTTTCGTTCTCCTCCTTACAGAATCTATACTCACTATCTTCTACAACTCTTAGTTAACTAAGGTGTCCTTTTAGTCGGCAATGCCCAGTAAGGAACCCTGTTGCAATACATCTTCGTGCTCAGGCAAATGCAAGCTTTTGATTTTTTCTGCTTATATTCACCTAGAAGTATCTTAGCCTGTCTCAGCTTTAAGAGATTGTTTTATTTATCGGTTCTTCCACTGCCCAATTCTTTTTTAATCTTTTCTAATACAATGTTACTGCTAATACTGCAGAACGGCTCAGGTCCCACAAAGGGTGTTTGAGCTCCTTTTCTTGTGAGACTATTTGCAATCTACTTATTCTGTACCCCGTTATGTCCTGGGACCCAAGTGAGAATAACTCTATTTTCTCGCCTAGCTCATTCAATTTTTTTAGGCATCTCCAGACAATTTTTGAGCTGCTTTGCGCTTTGATGGCTGCTTGGCTTTTTAATGATAATCTCTTGTCTATGATAGTTTCTCTCGATGTTAAACTGAATACACTTTTCGATATATGTGGTTTTGAAGTTATTTACAAAACAGTACTTCTGTATAATTTTATCTTGAGGCATATTCCAGGTAGCTTTGGTCCTAAAGCAAGTAGACTAGGGGCTGATACAGGCCAAGATACTTTTGGGTGAATATAATCAGAGAAGATCGGAAGCCTGCATTTGCCTGAGCAAGAACAGGCTACGTCTTGTAACAGGGATCCTTACCGGGCATTGCCTCACTAAAAGGACACCTAAGTAAACTGAGAGTAGTAGAGGATAGTGAGTACAGATTCTGTGAGAAGGAGAACGAAACCTCCATTCACATCCTAACTGAATGTGTAGCACTCCAGAATCCAAGGGCACTATATCTAGGAGGATATCAAATAGAAGAGGGAAATTTACCTAACTTGACACCACTTCAAATCCTACACTTCCTTGAGAAAATAGGATTGAGAGGTTCGTTATAGGCATTAAGACATTTCCTTAGTGCATTGACGACATAAGGAAATACAATAGAGCTTTTAGGTCGCAGTGTATTAACACCCCATTCTCAACATAACAAAACATAAGTATTACTCCGTTTCTTATCATTCTATATCGTGATATAATCTCATAAAAATAATTAGGGCAAGAGGTGGCAAAAGAGAATATTAAAACTTCCAAGGTGGTAATTAAATTACTTAGACTGTTTATTTATTTATAGAAATGCTGTTGTGAAATTAGATATAATCTTTATGTTTGATATTATATAATAAATTTTATATGATTTTTCAAATTTTTCAATAAAATATGTTTAATGAACTATATTCTGATATCCAACTAGATTTTTATCATTAATACACTTTTCTATAAAATACTGGTTATATTAATAAGTAAAATCAGTTTAACGAAAAAAAAATATTTAATTTTTTATGATAAATTTTACCATATTAAGATAGACATAGGGTTTTAGCAAGGACAAAAACAAAATAAATTATACTTTGACAACAAGATATGATATTTTATTCTATATGAGAGTTAGAATGGACAGTTTTGTTGTCGCAGGCTAATATATAAACAATCTTTATCTTCTTTATCCTATATCAATGTCAGAAACAAAAATTAACAACACTTAAAATGATTAAACTCTATGTATTTAACAACTATAAACTTACCTGATTAAAATTTATTATTCGTCTTTTATTTCTATAATAGATAACCCCCAATATCATTCCAATACAACTACAAGAGGCATTGGATAACGTTGAAGAATATGAAACCATAAAATCAAGTGACCAATAAAAATATCTCCTTTCTAGGTTTCTAAAAATAGGAACTTTAAATTTAGTATGGTAATAATTTTAAAGACATATTTAGTTATAAATTGTTTTATTTTTGTAAAATTTATTTATTGAACCTACCTTGCATTTGGTAAAAATATTACACTACTCTTGTAGTAATACAGAATTATTCCATGAAGAATAAAACAGATAAGAAAAAGAATACTATATGCTTTATATTCACTCAGTTTAAATTTAAGAATGATATAAATAACCAAGATATTAATAACATATAGTTGAAAATCGGCTGCTAAGTACCAGGAAACAGGATTGCACTAAAATATATCATTATTGAGATGTTAGTAGCCATAAATTAGAGTCAAATAGAATAAATAAAAGTACAAATACCGATATACATAGTTCCTACCAGTCCGCTTCAAAAACCACCCTTAAACATCATCTGACACCAGATTTCTTTATTGTTCTCGAAACCCATCGCTCTTTCGGAAAAAAATTAGGGATATAAAATCTTCTTAACAAAATTCTACATCTCTTATATTCTTTTTTTAGCCAAAATCTACCAAATAACGTTTAAACTTGAAAATTATTATTTGTGAAGATAAAAATAAATCAAGCTATACTTTTCAAGGACAATATCTTTAGATTATATTCGTTTTAGCGAAAATCGTCTAATAACTTTATCAAGGTATCCTTTTAGTCGGCAATATCCGGTAAAGATTCCTATTACAATACGTAGCCTGTTCTTGCTCAGGCAGCTGCCGATATTTTCTGGTTATACTCATTTAGAAGTATCTTAGTCTGTCTCAGCCCCAAGAGATTGTTCCAATTATCGGTTCTTCTACTGCCCAATTCTTTTTTAATTTTTCCTAATATTATGTTACTGCTGATACCGCAGAACGGCTCAGGTCCTACAAAGGTTGTGTGAGTCCCTTTCCGTGCAAGACTATCTACAATCTCGTTACCCTGTACCCCGTTATGTCCCGGGACCCAAGTGAGAGTAACTCTGTTTTTTCGCCTAGCTTATTCAATGATTCTGGGCATCTCCAGACCATTTTTGAGCTGATTACGTAATAGTTTAGCGCTTTGATGGCTGCTTGACTATCTGGCATAATGATAATCTCTTGTCTATATTAGTTTCTCTCGATGTTAAACTGGATACACTTCTCGGTAGTGTGAATTTCCGCCTGTAAGTTGCTTGGGTATTTTTCCAAGCTTTCGGAGCGCTTGGTTCTCGGCTTATACACTCTTATTTCAGTTCCTTCAATGGTTTTGGAACCTTCCGTATACCACTGAATAGCATGTGTTTCGGTTGCAGGTGCGATGGATTCTTGGCTCCATTCTTTCTTGTAGCCCAGCTCTGTGGTTTTGAAGTATTTTACAAAACTGTACTTCTTTAGCATGTCCCAGGTAGCTTTAGTCCTGAAGCAAATAGACTTTTGTCTGATTACTCAATTTCTAATATTTCTATATCGTGTCCTTTTTGCCACGTCCTCCATCATCAAATGTAGAGGGGTAAGGTTTAAGATCACCTCCATTGCGGCCGTAGGGCAGGTTCTCATTGCACCAGTAATGCAAACACAGGCTAGTCTTTGTAATTTTAAGA